ATCGTAAATACTATCCTAATGTACCATATGCGCATAATTTACTAATAGAACTTTTTTTTATCATATTAGAAACTACTCTTAGACTGAGGATATTGACATATACAAATGAATTCAAAATATAAAATTTTAAGATTTTAAGAATGCTAGGTTATATTATAATGAAATAGTTGCGTAAAATATGAAAATTCCTTATTTTATTGGCCAATCATAGCAATACGTTTCGTCTTAAGATGCTCATCACATATTCATGGTTAATTACCAGATTTCTTATATGTCAACTATATTTTTGAGCCTCCTTAAAGATTACTAATATAGTAAAATTATATATAGTATAATAAAATTAAATAATAAATAATAAAATAATATAAATTAAATAATAATAATAATAATAATTAAATAATAAAATAATAAAATTAAATATAGTATAATAATTATAGTAAAAGTATACATCGCTCTGCCATTTGGCTTGAAACTGACACGGGTCGGACTTGATAAATTTTTTGCACAAATAATTTCATATAATTACACTAAGATATTTAACTTTATAATGCTTAAAAATATTTGGAGAATCGTCTTCGCAAAATTGCAGATAAATAATCAAGCCAGAAGAAACAATAATTTGCTCGAAGCCAGACGTAACAAGTGTAAAGTCTACGCTATTTCATTAGATTTGGCATTTGATGAAAAATTCATATATTTCAATGGACTGAAAATTAACTTTTTAGACTGTAATTTTTCGCTCCATTCACTCTATTAACTAGATGATAAGATTTGAATATTTCATAATGTTTAATTCAATATAATGGGACTGTTATTTGGGAATTTAATTTAAAATAAAAATAAAAAAAAAAAAAAAACAACAAATAAATAAAAATGAAAAAAATAATTGAGACATTTCCTTACCTTTATATTTATTTTCTTTTATATTCCTTTATATTATATTTATATTTTATATTCCTTTCACCTGCGATGTTACGTCTAACATGTTTGTAGCCCAATGGAAATATTCGCATTAACTTATAAAATAAATAGAATTTATGCATACAAAAGAGAAGAAGCTCGTTTAGATGCTTAAACTTGGATCTAAATTAATCTAATAAAAAATAAATCGGACAGCGTTGGATAATGGCAGCACTGGACAATTAGAAAAGCATTTTTCACAACATATTTAATGCCAAATAATATTCTCCATTAAAATAAAATGCCTGCTGACATTGTAGTAAGTATACTTTGATGACGCCTCTGCATTGGAAAGCAATTTCTCCTCAACAATAAGGCGTCACGGGCTTAGCAATGCTAAACGTCGATCGAAAGAAGCCATCCAAAAGCGGACAGTACAGGGTGCTTTTCCATTTTCTCCGGGCGTTTCCTCACCTTTTTATTCCAGGGCCCACGGTAATACCATTAACAGCAACTCACTCGGCGTGATTTCTTTTAACCCAACTTTCTTCACCATCGACAATAACAACAACGACGACAACGACAACAACGGCAACAAATCCTAATCGATTCGTCGACAGCCAGCGAGATGTACACCGGGGAATTGTTGACTATCTGCTCGTACTTTTTCTCGGCAACATCCTGGCGAAGAACGTCGACTTTACTCTGGGAACGCAACTTTCGGATGCGCGTGAAAACACTTTTAGGAAGCTGAGTCGCGCGAAATTGGTGGAAATTGGCATCGTTACAAACGCGCCTCCTGCCTCGCTCTCGCGATTTTCTCCCAAAGAACTCAATTCTTCATTCTAAATAAAATTCTAAAGAAAATATGGTTTTTCTTATTAGCATTTTCTTTGAAGCTACTCGGTTTGACATGAAAGGAGCGCTTATCTCGAGTCACGACTGTCCGAGCCCATTGGACATTTTCTAAAAGGAGCACAAAGAATTTGCTTTCAATGGAAATCCGCGAGACTGGCTAATAATAGCCTGAAATACATGAATTTTTAATTTACATAAACAATTAAATCTCACGATGCTTATTATATATTCAATCGGTATGGCGGACTGGAATAATCTTAATTAGAGTATAAAACAGTACAAATATTAATAAAAAATATAATAAATTGATATATCAATATAAATATAACGATTGTATGTATATTTTCAATTACGCGTTTTATACATTTTCCCATATGATAATGAAAAATGTTTCGTACAGCGTGTAATTATATCATACAATTGGAATAATATCCATTAGAAAAGAAAAGACACGTCGAGGTATTAAAGTCGAAATGCCATATAAAATATAAGTATAATAATATTATTATTGAAATTATCATTTGCCAAGTATTTTCATACGTAGTTTTCCTATTGAAAACTATAATTTTACAATGAAATAGATTTTCACTTACGAAAAGCCGTTCGATAAACTCGAGTGTTCGGCAAACGATAAAAACCCGTATCACGCTGAACACCAATTGTGAGTTGCAGCTTATTTGAAAATACGAATTCGCAATTTCATTTTGTAATTTCACAATATTTAAATTCTCAACCACGACCAGCAATTTGATACTTCAAGTTTCACTATTTTTTATGCAACTTTTATCGGATTTTAAAATAACGCACTTACGATATGTGCGATTTAAGCGAAATAACACCGCGCACTACGAACAACGTCATTTCAATATTCGAATTTTCAATTTCATCAAATTGACGACAATTCGCCTTCTGGTAGCTTACGTATATCAGTCATCCATGTAACATCAACGAGTGCTGCTCAATTTTTTTTTTTTTTTTTTTTTTTTTTTTTTAACGTAGACCGGGGTAAACAAGGCGTGGCAGCTGTAGATATAATACAGAAGAAATACGCGAAACTTATTACTTATAAACTATACTCTCTTTTCGCGGGCATTTGAAAGTCAAGCAATTCGATAAATGCAATTGATTCAATTGCTTCGTTGCTGATTCGTCGCCGTTGAGCGATGAAATTCAAATGTTTTTGCTTGTTGTGGATGGGCGCAAGAGAAGAAGTTCGCCCTGGGCCATCGGCACGAACCTGCCCGGCCGCTGGTACATATTACATATCATACACGAGCCTCGGTATTATTTTATAAAAGCCGCGATACTTGTTGTTCGACGAGTGCGAGATAAGCTCACACTTACTTTCTCCCAATGTGGCGGAGCTCCGTGAACGACGAATCGCTCCTTGGAATCGAGTTTGTTTTCTTTTACTTTTTTCTTTTTCTTTTTCTTTTTATTTTTATTCTTCTTCTTCTCCTCCTTCGCCTCCATCACCTCAACCACCTCAACCACCTCAACCACCTCAACCACCACCTCCATCTCCACCTCTGTCTCCACCTCTGTCTCCCCCTATTCCCCTCACCCTTTTTTCCATCTAAAGCAGCAATACCTCTCGTTGTTGTCTCGGCGACTGATCTTTCTCTCGCTCTCTATCATCTACAATGGCGGAGCTCTTGTGCATTATATACGCGACTCTCGTTGAGAATCGCCGAGCTAGAACGTCTTTTGTTATTACGCGCGCAGCTTATGTAAGACAATTGCATATATTTTGATGTTTAAAATGAGCGGAGTTGAACTCGCGGGACGTCGAAGATATTTTTCTCCCTTGCTCCTCTCAACTTTGCTTTTTCTTCTCGCTCTTTCATACATTACATACATAAATTTCTGTACATGGCTTGCCACATGAAATTCGAGAATAGTGGAATGGTTAGACTGGTTGAAACAAACAACTAGGTGATGACGAATCAAGGGCACTTCTCATTTCCATTAAAATTTTCGTAAACAAAACGAGTTCGTTACAATATGATTCCTGCAATGTAAATGCCGTTGTTACTAGTATTGTAGAGTAAATCTTGCTTTACTTTAGAAATTCACTGGGCATTTCGGATTTCTAGCTTTTGTTTCAATATCTAACGCCCGTTTAAATTAACACGTATTTAGCTTAATGTTGTTGGGAATTATTTCTTTTGCATTGAATTGATGATCGCTCTTAAAGTCGGCGAGCTCTATCGAATTAAATAGAATTTTCACATTTTACTTAATTTAAAAACATCAAAATGTATTAACAGCTGTTTTATTATAGAATAGATACTTTTACAATGACACTTTTATTAATAACGTTAATATTCTCTCCCTTTTGCAGTTCACGTCAATCAAAATATTAAAAAATGCTAAAACGCGTTCTTTGCTTCGCACGTGCGCGCGCGCGCACACACACACACACACACACACACATTATTTGAAAATACTATGGAAATTAAATCATCACTGGTTATTTCTAATTAAAGCACACGCAAAAACTATTAAAAATACTTTAATATGATATTACTTATAAATTAAAATATTTATACAAATTTTAAATATTCGCTGAATTTATGTTGTTTTTAATAATTTTATGTAATTAATTTTGCATTTTATTTAATATTGAATGAAACAAAAATAATAGAACAAACATAGGATAACGGACGAACGAATATTATAAATTGGCGATTGTGCATAAAGTGCATTTAGCGGTAACTTTTAATGAAACTAATAATGCAGAATTAAAATAGCACTTAAGGATTTCTCATATAAGTAATCCTGACATTATTTTTCCGAATGAAATTTGTCAAATTAGATGTTATTTATATTATTCCTCATTGAGGGATAAATTCAATGATGCTCAATATATTTAGAAAAATTTAATACTTAATAAAATTGATTAACCATTTAATAAATAATCGTTTAATAAGTGATAGGAATATGATGAAACTTGTGAGAAAAAGAGAAAGAAAAAGATTAGCATTTTTTTTTTTTTTTTTTATTACATTGGTAAATATATTCTATCATAAAAAAAGTATTTTTAAAAATTTGAACTTATAACAAACTTATCAGTTGCAGCGTAATAAATTTAGTATTTATGGTAACGTATTGAGAAAATAATAGCCAAACCATATTATATTACTAGATAATAAAAATTAATAATTTAAATGGGCTATTCATCGATTTATCCACACGAACGATACTGCAGCACATATATGTGCAGTATAAAACGAATTGTAAAGCTCAGTTAGTGAGTTCAGTCGATGTGCGAGAGTCCAATAATATTGTGAGATCCTTTAGTTAATCAATTAACGATGAGACTACTTATCCCTATTCTCGCAGTGATCTGCATTGTTGGTGTTAAGGGGGTAATTATTTTCTCCGCTTAGACATTAAAATATTACCAAATATCAGCAATTTATGTGAAATCTTATCAATAGAATACTTAATCTCGATCATTACATTGCTATGATTACATTACAATATTCTTACTAAAATATCCAATTTAAAAAAAAATAAAATAAAAGTGCATAAATGGAATATAATATACAAGTACTATCTTTTGCGTATAGATTATTGTTTTCCTTTTTGTACACAATAAATTGTAATTTATTGTAAACCATACACTACCAAAAAAAAAAAAAAAAAAAAAAAAAAAAAAAAAAAATATGAATATAATATTTTCCTTCTTTTATTGAGCGAGACTTCATGAATTTTTCAATTAATAATTTTTCTTGTAAAATATTGAATAAACTTATAATAAAATAAATTTTATTCCCAGAAACTTAATTAATCGCTAAAGAATTTTCAACATTAAAATATCAATAAATTTTATTTTTGATTTGATGTTATTTTTTATCTAAGATTATATAGTACAAATGTATATGTAATGTAAATTTTATAAAATTAAACAATATACTTAAATTGCAACAAATTTCATGTCTCAATATTAAATATTAAACCTTAACCGAAGCTTTATTTGTTTAGATTTATTATTAAATAACTTGTTAATAACAATCTCTTTAGGTATAACTTAAAATATGAATCATATGATTTAAAAATTAAAGAAAAGTTCTAAAATAATAATTGAAATGAAATATTATAGCTTTAGAGCTTTTAAAATTTACTCACAGTAAATGTCACAAGCATTATGAACACATTTTGTCTTTAGAGACTCGTAAAATATCATGTGTTCCATTAAAATGATTTAAATAGTCGATTCAATATACTAGACGAACAAGATTATTTTTAACTATTCTAGTTATCAATAACTAATATAAACAGAAAATACAAATATTGTATTACTTTTCATCTTTAATTAGCACACAGACGCACACACACACACACGCGCGCATATATAATAAGAATGTGTTTTTTCTATAATATACGTTTTATATTTTAACGCCTTTACATATAACTTTATTCTCCTGATATAATTTATATGTTTTATAATGAATCCGATGCTAATGAAATATAATTATGCACCTACAATTATGTCCGAAAAAAAATTGCTTAACATTGATTCGTTTGATTTGTAAAATATTTTTATTTTCTTTGAAGTAGAAAGATTTTCGTATAATTTAAATATTTTGAAATTTTAATATTATCAATAGATTTCTAGCTTGCAATAATGTCAAAAAGTATTAAAATTTTTAATTTTCAGCATGAATTTACAGAAAAGGAGAAGAACCAGAGTGATATGGAAATAGAATCATGTGCATTTGAAAATGGTATTCATCGAAGTAAGAAATTTGTATTTATTAATTATTCTCATCTAAAGCTTATAGATATATCGAAGCAAAAGTTTTTTTTATAAATAAAATATTACAAATCTCACTGGACTTGTTTCTTAATTTTCTTAAGTTTTTCGTAATTGGTAAATTGAAGGCAAACAAAAGCATGAAAAAATAGATAAAAAAAAATTATTTTGAAATATATACATTATTGATGCATATAAATATTACCTCAAAATAAATATTCGTTTTATTAATCATTATAATCCATCTATGCGTGTCTCAACGACCCTAATAATCGTACATCACCACATAAGGCGATGAAAGCTTAATATTTGTTGAAAATGTAATATGTAACTCATATTGGTTAAACAAGATATTTTTTATTACATTGATTTTTTAATTTTATTTTAATGTCATAGATATATGATACCGACATGAATTTTCTTAATCATTTAAACCATCTCAATCTATCTTCTCTCAGACAGAACACCAATCTCATTTCTTTATTATACGATGGTGAACTTAAAAGAATATTACATAAATATATATATATATAAGAATCTTGACAATTTAGAGAAAGGCAATAATATTATAATCATAAATGAGATTTAAAAATAATGGGATAATCAAAATTTAATCGTAAATACATAGAGTATGTATGTAAATATATATATATATATATATATATATGAAATTATTTGATAAATTTGAGTAATAATATTTTGGGTTACACGTATACTTGACATATATACATACTTAATACTTACGCATACTTTTTGTTTGAAAATTTATATTAATTATAAAATTTAGCATTATTACAAAAAATTTGTATATTTTACTTTATATGACAACTAATGAAGGAGCTATCATATGTGCACAGGGCACTTTTGAAATTTCCTCCTTTGAATATTAAAATTTTGAAGTATCGAAATTGCCAATATAAATGATTATAAATATCGAACAGCATGACCATTGTGATAAAAATGGGAAAGCAGTATTGTAATTAAATTTTAAATAACTTACATTTTAATCTGGTTCTATTTCTTAGTAATATCGAATTTATTAAAATCTCTACGTCATTAAGCTTCGTTTCATCTTTTCAAGTATATGAATTTACTAGAACTTTTAAAACAAATAAATTTTACTTGTTAACTGAGAGAGTAAATCATGTATAGAAAGAGATCATAAGGAGAGATTGCATCGATAGTCTTTTATCGTATGTGTCAATAAAATTGGTATTTTTGTTCGAGGTCATCAATATGCATTCAAACTTATTTAAAAATAATTAAAATGATTATAAAGATATATAAATAAATGTACTTATATATATAGAGTTAAGAAATTATTTTAAGAACTCCAAACATATAACACATGAACATAAAACCTGTAATTTAATCTTTACTATTAAATTGAACGATCACTTATATTTATATATTTATTATCTATAGCACAATTAGAAAACCTAATGAAAACTAAAAGTGTCTCTGGAACTCGGCAACTCGATTGTTTTTCGGCCTGTGTATTAAAAAAAAGTGGATTTGTAAGTAAAATTTATATAGGATGAGTAAATTATGTCTAAGAAAGTTGTATTGTACCTGAATTAAATCGTTTTACCATTTTTAGATGAACGACGATGGGACGTTTAATGAAAACAATAATGTACAAAAAGAGGAAATTATAAAGTGTAGACAACTAAGTAAGTGAATTTTTTCATTATCGTTAAAATAATAATGTAATTTTTCCTCCATTAATTCTAAATATCTAAATATGATTTTTGTTAATAATCTCTAGAGGGCCCATCTACTTGTGAAACTGGTGGCAAAGTGTTGCAGTGTTTACTCGACAATGGTATAATACCGTAATCAATAGCTTAATATAAGAAAACTTATATGATAAGAGTTGTTAAACAACTTATGAGAACGGCCCTCACAGATTTATAATTGTTATTACAAAAATATCTCATTCAATGACAATACATTTAACTTTAAAATATCTATGTATTTCATTGAACTCGCTTCTTTTTTCCATTTACTTTTTAGACTGTGTTTATGCTTTTATTATGTAAATAAAATTCTTAAATAATAAACAAGGACAGTTGATATAATCCTTTGAGTAAACGTCAATATTCGTATTCTTGTATACAAGATTTTTAAACTGATAATTCGATATGGAGAAGTAATAATTAATTACTATTATAATAGTTGCTTTCTTTTTTTTTTTTTTATAGATTTTTAATTATATATTTTATACTTATTGTTTATGCACATTTACGTACGAAGGATTGGTCTACGAATTTTCGTCTTTTTTCTTACCATTAAATAATAACTTTGAAATTACTAGATTGACAAAGTCGGTTGGTTACAATTCTAATCACTGCTTACTTTGAAATAACATTAATTTATATTAATTAGTACAACATTTTCATGTCTTTTTTTTTTTTTTTTTTTTTTTTTTTTTAATAGCAGCATGCAAGTTTTATTATATTTGTACAGTACTTTTGTAATAATATATTTTAATATTTGAAGAACGAGATTGGCGATTGAGAAATTTTATTCGGTGAGAATTATATTTCAGCTTATTTTATTTACACGGTTGGCAGTAATTAAGCATTAACTTCGTGTCTCAACCATAAAATTTGATTATTTTTTATTACTTCATAGCCGGTTACTCTATCCAGGCGCATAATTATTTAGAATTTGGTATCTACATTAATCGAGTCGCCAACAACGAGATTCTTACACATCCGTGCGCCATTATTATAAATGTAGGTACTTCACAGTCGATGTCCATGAACTTTTGATAAATGATAGTGAAACGAATGCTTTGCACTTTGTTAATTAAGATGAGCTTTCATTTCTCCTTTTCATTCCAATGGATTTTTATTTCATTTTTATTTCATAAAAAATGTTCGTCTTGTGTTGGGACGATAAAATTTTAAGATTAGAAATTAGTTAGCTTCTAGAGATTATTTTCAAAATTATTACATTTTTATATAATATTTATGTATAAATAAAATCATAAATACATATACAGCTACAAGTGATGATTATAAATTTTCTTCAATCGAAAAAATTCATATAAATAAATTGAAATAGTTGAAATTGAATAATTTACTAATTTTTATGTTTAATCAAGATTTTTAAAGAATTGTTTATAAAAGCGTTTTTAAAAGTAAATGAATACAATTATTCCACTTATACAGAAACTGAAAATTCTACTTATAATTGAATATATAATCAATGTATCAATTTTGGTAAAATTAATGAACAAATTTTCCATCGTAATATAAATAATAGACCTAACAAATTACTTTAATAAAAACATTATTTATATAAAATAATGTGTATAATTTAGATAGATAGATAGATTGATAGAGAGAAAGAGAGAGAGAGAGAGAGAGAGAGAGAGAGAGAGAGAGAGAGAGAGAGTTTTCGTTGTATCTTAAAATACAAATTATTTTATCATATACTATTTACCAGTAATTTTCTTTATTCAAGGTCATATTAATTTTTATGTAAAATTTATTATACGGGTTATTTTTAAAAATATCTGCGATTCAACATTAAATTAAAATTTTTAAATTATGTTTCAAGTATTTTACATTAATCATTTTATCTAGAATAAAATGCTTTGAAATCATTAATCAAGAAAGGTTATGTAAAAATTGTAATACAATTTTCCTTGGATCAGAAGAGAGGTAAGAATATATAATTTGTATCTTTACTTGCAGTGTATTCAAATAGATAAAAATATTATATTATATCATTGAAATTCTTACTTAAACATTGGGTAAAGAGACTCGTTTATTTGTAATAATTATTTATACAATAATTTATTTGTAAAATACTAAAATTAATGATTAAAGAATATACGGATATGATACCAAATTGATATACATATCTACTTATTCCTATGACCGTGAAATAAATTCTATTATCAATTATTTATATATCTTTTTCAGATATTTTTCAGATTCGCTATGAATTCTAGTATAAAGTAACATATTATAAAAATAAGTGTTATAACAAATCATAGAGAAATATTAGTTATTTTATTATTATAATTTTTAATAAAATAACAAATAATACTCCTTCTACTCCTATCCTTACTACCACATCATGAGAAATAAATGTTTTATAGTTTTTATATATCAATAATTATCTGCATCATAAGATAAAAATGAAATAAGATTTCCAATAAGCAATCGATTGGATTTTAATTAAGATTTGCCGACGTATAATACAGGAAGAATTTCAGCTTTTAATATCATGCTTTTTACTAATACTATATTAGATTAATAATCGATATTATTAAAAACAAATGTTAAGGATCTTATCTGGAATAAATAATATATATTTATATATTAATCGACAAAGTATTAATTATCCTAGATATTGCATTTGAATTTTTATACTCCAAGTGTTGCATTCCTCTTCAATTTTTGGATTTTTTGCCCTAGGAAATGAGTGACTGAATTTTAAATGGAAATAATAATTTACAGTTTGTATTTAAAACTGATATATATTAACCACTCAAGAATTGTTAAATAAATATATTAGTTTTCAATGTACCCTCACATATATTTAAGTTTTGAAAGAAGAAAATATCATTTGACGCAATTTGATCTAATAATTTAAACATTGTAATTTAATATATTAAAGAGTTATATATGAGTACATAATTCTCACTAAAACAAAATATTTATTTCAATATATCATTGAAAGCTATAATAAAATTAAATAATTCGTGTTTATCATTCCCTTCTCTATTAAATTTTCTTTTTAAGAAATAAAAAATAGTGTTTCTCAATTACCGTTGAGTTAGAAAAAAAAACTTGTTAGAGCCTAAAGTAGTTTAAAAATAAAGTTGCAATAGAGTTTTATAAATAAAATAAATTCCAAATTTGTCACTAATTATAAATGACAATATATGTGATCGATATAATTGTTAATGCAAATAAATCTCCAATAAATAAGATATTCTAAAAATTCAATTGTATATTATATGTAATATAGATAAATCGAGCGGAATGTATGTTCAGACTATAAATACTTTGACAAAGGATTGAAAAGCCATACAAATTGGTACACAAGTAGGAGAATTTGAATTGGAATTATTTTTAAATTAAAATATTAAATCACTGATTGAAAAAATATAAAAATTTTATTGCTTAAATGTGATGATTTGGTTAACGTAGAAAATGAACGATACGCATATGTTAAATAATTAAAATGTTGTTACTCTTGACAAAATAATTTCCCATTGATTAACTAACAATTAATATTAAAAGAAAAAGAATAACATGTAATGAAGAAAATTCTTTAATGAGTAATTTCCTCATTACATTATAATAGAATTTCTCGTTCCAAAAAAATTATTATCAGTTATATTTAAGTGGAATTAAGTATCTGGTTAGGTATTTGATTCAGAAAGACTTAATTCATCGTAAGTTAATTTGAAGAAAAAAAAAACTATTGTTAAATAAATTCATTCATTTAATCAATGAAAATTAGTAAATTTTTATATTTAGAAATCCATTATCTCCTTATCCATGAATCCATTAATCCATTATCTCATAGCCACTTATGATTATTGGCTATAATATACGTAAATTTCAAAATTTATCAATTATAATTACATATAATGATTACAAATTTTAATTTTATTTTAAAATAAAATAAAATATAGTATGTATTGATCTAAAAACCTATATATTACTTTACAACATTAATTTTTAAAAATTACTTTTGCTTTGTATACTTTCCAAATAGCAAACCGTTATTCAATATTTACCGGGTCATCGGATTAAAGTTGACATATATTAAATAAAGCCTAAGTAATTAATTATTCAAAATTTTTGTCGTTCAGAGCTCCCGTCAAAATCATACGAAAATATCAAAAAGTGGTTAAATGAAATTTGACTAATTGTATTTACAATAATCCTTCGAGAAAAATTAATTAATCCCTTAACTAATTACAATTCTTCTTACATATGTAATTTGAGATATCAGTGGTATATCTTATAAAAAACACAATGTTTCTAAAACAATGAATTCACCACATAAAATTATAACAATGTTGCAATTGTTATTATGATAGCTTCTATATATTATAAAGAAAAATAAAAATAAATAAATTAATTAATTAATTAATAAATAATAATAATAATAATAATAATAATAATAATAATGAAAAAATATTGAAATTGACATTTATGTTTTTAAAAATTAATGAAAATGAAGAACAGAAAAATAACAGAAACAAATTTTATCTATATGTATTAGAGTTTCAGATTTTCCAACTCAATCGAGTATCTTCAATTAAAATACCGTTAAAAATTATTATCACGCGAGCAACATATTGTTCCTAATACTTTCGTACATACGTATCGAGACCATATTTTATAAATTAAATTTTTTATATTAATTAAATATTGTAGTCACATAAGTCCATTTTATATTTTATTTTGTAACTTATTAAATTACATCAATTAATTTCGATGGAATAACATACGTACTTGACAGCATTACTCATGCAACTTGAAAAAATTAATGAGCTATAATTCCTCAAATATTTTAAATTTAATAATAAAAAATGTTTTACAAAGTGTCTTATTATTATGCGGGAATTTATATAATTATCAAGTTCTTAAAAACTATGTAATTATTTTTTGTATTTTATGCATAAACATGAAAACAACTAATAACTAATAAAACGAATAACTAATAATGAAAACAACTAATAAATAACGTATAAATGTACAAAATGTAAAATAGCTATTGGTTTTAAAAATTGAATAATTTGAAATAATATTTTTGAAAAATGTTTAGTTTTCATCTTACAGATTATTGTATACGATGTGAAAATTTCTTTTCCTTCTTTAAATACAATCATAAACTCTATTTTTTTTTAAATTTTTATCATCGTGTGTGTCAAATGATGGTTTACACGAAATGAAATAGATAAGATTTAGAGATTATTTATTTACATGTACATTTAGCAATTAAACAAAATTTAAATAAATTCACAGATGTCATTAAATAATAATTTTGTTAATTTTATAAATTCAATCTACAGTTAGTTAAAGTTACGAATATCAAATGAAAAAATGTTCATTATACCTTATTGACTTATTGAATTTATCTTATTGAATAAGACAGACATTAAATAATAAATAATCATAATAAAGTAATTTTATAATGAATAATATAACACAATGATCTTTCTCTTCAGAAATATGTTATAAAGACAAATATTATATAAAACTTGAATTACTATTAATAATTAATTTTTTTATTTTGTGTTTTGAATAATTAATTATAATTTGAATAAAACTATCAAAGAATTATTATTACTATTTTTCATTGTCAATATCATTTATGGCGTTGAACAAAATTTTGGTCGTTAATTTTTGTATATATATGTTCCTTTTTATTGCTCGTTGAATTTAAATTGCAAAAGTACTATCAATAGATATTTTTCATTGTTTTTAATTTGTACTTTGTATTAAATTATAAAATAGTCATTGCAACAATTTGTCTAATATAAAAGTAATGGTATGAATAGCCACTTAACATGTAATTTGTAGCAATTGTCATCGACATGTTTTGCCATAAAACTTGAGATAAAAATCACCCAATGATATAAAAACTATAAATAAGTGTTATCAAGATATATTTTTATTTTTACTCTTTGCATTTTAATAGTATTTTACTTTATTGCCTTCGATAGTCTTATAGTATATTTGTGTTCTTTATCTATATTGTGCTTACAAAAATTTGCAAACTTTACTTTATTATAGAAACACATGTAATTACTTTTATAAACTATGCACATTAAAAAAAAAAAAAAAAAAACCCCTATTAAATTACTAATTGAATGAGAAGGGAAAAATAACATTAAAGTAATAATAACCAGTTGATATTAAAAATATTATTATTTAAAAGGGAATAATAAGAAGTGAATTTTTATTCCTTATAGATCAATAATAAGCACGATACACCTTCAAGCTCATAACTTTAAAAAAACTTTTGAAACTTTCATTTATATTGAAACGATGATCATTATTAATAAGCCGATTTCTCAAAAACAATATATATATATATATATATATATATATATATATGTATATATGTATCACAATGCTGAAGCACGTAAATCGTTAATTAAATTTCAATCACAAACGAAACTTATAAGCATAAAAAATATATATATCGTCAAATTATTCGCGTCCTATAGGTCGGTAAAAATAAAAAAAAAATTGAAAATATTACTGGTGTCGGAAAAATAATACGATCTAGCGAGTTTTTCAAATTATTGCCGTTCGCCATCTGTTACGGTTGACCGTTGACTGCAATAACTGACAGGACAGAGTACGCGTTCCACGTACCATTTGCAGTCCGTCTAAAAAACGCAATTGAAACGATGGAATGCGGAACGAGCATTCTATTTGAAAAAAAAGCGGAGCGGCGTGAAAATAATATATACAGGACTGTGATTCCAGACGGAGGCGACCGTTAATATTACGCGAGGGAGAATAACGATCTTTACGACAGTTGCCTCGGATTAAATAAGTAGTCTTGCAGCGTGTGCAACGAGCTGCGATTAACTGATGAGTAAAACAACATGGCTTGTCTCATGAAATTCGAGGTTAGTTGATTATTATTAATTCTCTTATTTAGGCGCTTTGTTGTTGGTTTTCCCGCGTAAGCGATACCGTTTAGGTGAATGACATCTTGGCTTCATCGAATGTAGCTTTCTTTTAAATGCCGTTTTAGGCATTATTTCAATGATTCTCTTACCGACAAAAGCTATTTTTCATAATCCAAAATCGTCTTGTCGCTATTTGGCTTATTAATTCTAATGAATTGCGTATATTTTACGATCCCTTTCAAGAGCATTCGTTTGTAGTTTGTTATACAGAAGCTTTGTAAACATCTATGGCTGTGTTCGCTCATATGTGTATGCATCCATTTGTGTATGCCTGAACACACACACACACACACACACACACACACACACACACGACATTCATAATAACCATGTAGTTTTTTTCTCTATTATACGCATCACTGATGCATAAATAATTGTTTAAATTGTATTATGCGAGGTTTTTGAATGTTTAAATTTTATTATACACATTTATACGATAAATGTAGTTTATCTTGTGCATTAATCTCGTTTAATAGTACAGTAATTAATCCTTTTATCCCTTCAATTTTTCCCTTACTCAATGATGTCTCACTTAATTTAATATTGTTTTTAATTATCTTATATTTTATATGTTATAATTCACAATATTTATATATGCCAGTATTGTTTGAAAGCAAAAAATAGTTTTACATATTGCAAAATATATTAAAAAATAGTATTTATTTCAATAATCTTTTTCATTACACAGACAAACAAGCTGTTGGAAAAAATTGAAATGGAAATACAAATGGAAAATAAAAAGAAAGAATTAAAAGAGGTACGAGAACAAAAAAAAAAATTACTGGAACTTCAAGATAAAACAGCGTCAAACTACAGAATGACTTCCAATTTGGAAACTCAATTGGATGAAATGACAAAGAGATTGGAAGTATCTCATAGAGAAAGAGATAAATTTGAGCGTGAGCTTGTCACAACAAAATCTGAATTAGCTGGAGTAAAACGCACACTCGGTACATAAATTAGATTAAATATCAGAATTAGAATTTACTTGAATTTTTTATTTTTTATTTAAAAAATGTTTATGCTTAAAAAAAATTAATCTCGTTGAAAATTATAACTTAATATCCATTGTGATATGTCACTGTATCATCGTTGTTGTTTTTTTATATATAATGAATTATATCTAATGGATACTATTACTTATTTATAACAGATTTAGAGCGTCAAGAGAGGAGAGAGTTAGAAACAAGAGCTTTAAATTTGATTAAAAGTGCAAAAAAGAAGTGGGAAAATACAGAAAAGGATAAAGTTACTCAACTCAATAATCATATTGATTCTCAAACTATGCGCATAACTGAATTGTGCACTAGTAACAATGAGATGAGTTCTAAATTACAGAGATTAGAATGCGAACTCGAAACTGCTAATGCCGAACTACACAAATTAAGAGTATTCCAGGTATTGTAGCTTAAATTCTTCAACGCTAATACTCCCATTACTTGTAACGAATATTTTCTTATAACACACTTGGTTTATCAAAAAAAAAATTTATTGCAGGTTCAATACAAGGAATCATTAAATAAAATGCGAGAATTAAGTCGCCAAAGTTCTGTAGGCGTGGAGAATAAATTAGAACAAATATCAACGAGAGCTCATAACCAAATAGCTGAACTTAGATCCAAATTGGAATTAGAAACAGCTAAGAATATAGATTTGGATAATAAGTTACGGAATGAAGAGGATTCTAATCATTGTCGACAATCGAGATTGAACGTAGCTCTGGAGTTGACGCAAAATGAGTTGAAAGACTGCGAAGAGCAATTACGTAGTTTAAAGGCTACAATTCCAGCTCGAGATGCCGAAATAGAGACTTTAAAAAATCAATTACACGAAAAGGCTAAGCATTTGGAGAATGCGAATAGCGCAGAACAACTGATTGTTGCGTTACAAGAACAAATTGACAGACTAAGAATGGAAAATGACCAATTGAAGCAGCAATTAGAAGTATGTATATTAGATTTATTAATAAATTTATAAAAATATATATGTTTATTTATTTATTTATTTTTTTGTTATTTATAATTAAAATGTTTCAGTCGACAAAATCTGATTTAAATGAAACTATGATAAACTTAGAGGTAAATGAGACTCTTGCTGCAAATCTGGAGAGGGCTACACAAGATAAAATTGCCTTACAAAATCAATTAAAAAGCACTCTTCAAAAAGAAGGTTCGTAAGCTCATAATTTTTAAAAAATTGTAGCTGTATTATTTATTTCAGCATAGCTTAATACACATCGTAATAATTTCTATTAAATTAAAAATCATAATGATCGATATAATTGATATTGTTAAAATGTAATTTGAATTTAGATTACCAACGAAATTATTGTACGTATACCATATCGTATGTTATTTACTTGAACTTGATGGTTTACTTATAATAAATATTAATGATCAAATGCTTAAGCCAATAATGGAGAAATTCAGTTATCAAGAACAATTATGTCTGTTCGTCTCTTATTAATAAATGTCGTATTAATGTTATTGTCATAATTATAATAATTGTAGTGTTGATGTGCAAAAAAGCTTGAAAAGACTATTTAAGAGAAAAAAAATTCTTGTACATATAATGATTAAATGAATACTTGACCTCGTTCACAATATTAATTATATATTTGCTTGGAATAAAATACTTCAAGAGGAGCAAGGTCGTAAGGTCGGTGATCTCGAGGAGCTACTGCGTCGTTTCGAAAAGAGAGTAGAACACGAGCCTAAAGACCAATCAGCACCAGTCAAGGACGTCACTTATTCGCCGCACAGGCCCGACGATCGAGGATACCGTAAAAATAACTAGCCTCGAGCAGCAGATCGAAAATTTGGAACAGCAGCTGAAAGCGTGCAGAGAAAATGCGGCGGCTGATCGTCAAACCACCAAGCAAGCCCAATTAAATCTTTGGAAGAAGGAGAAGGAGTTGTCTGATGCCAATTTGGACAAGAGGATAGCTACGAGAGAGGCCAAGACGGCCGAGGAGAAGTTAAAGAGTTTGCAGGAAGAGAAGCAAAAAATGTCGGAGAGACTTAACGCAAAAATCCGGGAGGAGGAGGAGAAGGCTAGAAAGTTGTTAAAGGAGCTCGAGGCTGCGAAAAATTCATTATCGGATGCCACGAAGGAAGTGACGAGGAACAAATTACAGGCCAATTCTGCTCAGAAGGTAAAGATTAGCTCTTATTGTCCTTTCTATCCCGTTTATTGAATAAATATGATTATTAAGGGAGCTTTTCAATCGGCCATAATTTCATTAAATTACATTAATAATAGAAAAATAATAATTATTAAATTACATTGGCAACAAACTATAATCGGGCTCATTGTTAACAGGCATTGACTCAAGTCAACCAACAAATAGAAGAATTGCAGAGTTCGAGTGCGGCACTGCGCAGGGAGTTGGACTCTACTCGTAAGCAATTGCGTAGTAGTCAGGATCGCGTTGATGCATTGCAAAGCGAAAAGGAACGAATTGCCGCGAGGCTGAGCAAATTCAACGAGGAGAAAAATGAGCTTGAATCGAGGTATGAGAAAATTCCTATCAAGTGAATATCGAGCTCCTTAAGGAGACCTGCACCGTATTGGAAGAGCAGCTCAATGATTATGAGAAGCTTACGAGCAATCATGAAACGCGCGAGAATACCCTTATTCAAGAAAAGATGAAGCTCCAGAAAGACTTGGAGAGTGTTGAAACGAAGCTACATAAAGCGAACGCGTCCCTTAACGAGGAGAAGACGATGAGACTCGTCGCCGAGCGAGCGATCGAGCGTCTCGAATCCGAAACAAGTGATATCGAAGAGGAGAGAAACGATTTGGTCGGTCAGTGCGACCAGTACAAGAAGTTGGCTAATCAGCTCGGGAAACAGGTGTTGAGCGATTTCAAATATACTATCATTTTTGTTTTGTTTTTTTTTTGTTTTTTTTTTGTTTTGTTTTTTTTTTTTTGTTTTTGTTTTTCATTAACAACGAAACTCATACATTTCGACAATATTAATTGTACGAGCATTCTTGTTTAAAGGCTTATTCGTATAATATAACATGCACCGTTAATTATTAAAGATAATAAGGAATTAATGTTTCATTGTTTAAGCTTCGTTATTAAATGCTTTCATAAAAAATTGGATATATCGTAAGAATTAATCGCTCTGAAACTGAAAAGGATACAAAATAAAATTACTAAGCAATCTTATGCAATAAATAATCGGATTTATGGATAGTTTAAGAGAAAAAAAATTTTTTTGTTCTATTTCAATAATAATACAATGGGGAACGTGTAGTTTTGTAATTATCTAGAGTATAAAATACATTGTTAATTTCAATAATTTCCATTTATTTGTGTTGTGAATAAAAAGATGCAAACTGAAACAATAAGAGAAATTGCAATTTATTAAAATTGAAAGGGCATAAAGTTTTATGTTATGAACGAACGTTGACAATTTTTCTTCAATCTCTTTCTCTAAATTTATGAATAGGTCACGGAGCTCCAGAAAACTTGTGGTGAGTTGGAATGCAATTTATCGGAAGTGAAAAGAAATTTGGAAGTATCTAAGGCGGAAGTACGAGTTATCAAGGAAGAGAGCACCCAGCATTTAACGCGTATGCACGAGCTGAACGAAGCAAATCAAGCATTGTCGACGGACCTGCAGAATAGTGTAGATCAAGGACAGGATCTAAGAGGACGAGTCGTGGAATTAGGTAAGGAATGCATACAAATTGATGCACCCCCCCCCCCCTCCCCCTCATACCACCACGCATACGCACGCACGCACGCACGCGCGCGCACAAAACTCGTAATTCAATAATTCGAATGCTCGTAGAAACGAATGGCTGCCAATCATGTTCATTTTTCTTTTTTCTGTCTTTCTCTCTTCGATTTAACGCAAAGCTTAAATATTAATCCGACGTTAATTTTTCCAAAAACCAAATAACAGTCGGTTGTAGAATAATAACAAATTTTGCTTCTGACGTTTAATTAGAGGAAGTACTTGAAGAGATGCGACAATTTTATCAAGAACGCGAGATGAAGGCGGGCAGTACGTGCCAGCAACAGACAAAGCTAATCGATTATCTACAGATGAAGCTGGAAGAGACTAGCAAACGCAAGAAAACTGTCTGCGACATGATCTTCGGCACAAAATTGAAGGAAAATGTGCCACCGGTTAATCCAAGCGCCATGCCCGTTGGCTATCGCGAATTGGAAAATCAATTAGGTAGTAGTCATTTTCACTTGTAGCTTGTGTACGTTGATAAAACGCAGCCGCTGCATTATTATACAATACCTCAATTAAAATCTATCCGTAACTAAACGCTCTTTTGTTTCGCATGAAAATAGAGCGCGAGCGCGCCAAGGTCAAAACATTAACGGAGCAGCTTCTCACTATCAAAGCAACTCGGGTTACGAGTCCCCTGTCCGCTTCAAATCCAACGTCACCGGAGAAGCCCTCGGTGGACGTAGCGGACGAAGTGTTGACAAGGCAGTTGACAATGCAACGGATGCGCCATAACATACCGCATAGATTCAATGTCAGTTTGCCGATGAGGGCGGGCAAGTGCGCGGCCTGCACGGAGTCGATACAATTCGGCAAGCGAGCGGCCATATGCAACGACTGCCAGATAATGACGCATCTGAAGTGCTCGGTCTCGGTGCCAGCCAATTGCGGTTTGCCCGGCAGTTTTGCTCGGCAGATGAACAAAAACTACAGATCGAGTTCGGAGAGCCTGTCCAGTTTCGGGGGTAGTGTACAAACTTTGGCGATCGACGAGCCAGACGACGTTCCAGAAAAGGTGCGCCACTTTATTTGCAATTTTCTTAATACCTCGCTCGTTAATCCTACCAGTCTCATTACCATTGTCATTATTATTATCATTATCATTATCATCATTATCATCATCATCATCATCATCATCATCATCATCATCATCATCATCATCATTATTATTATTATTTATTGTGTTGCATTTTTTTTTTTTTCATTGCATCGTTTACAGGACGTTAATTGCGCGCATAAAACTAACGATAGCGCCAGCGTGTCGATGGAGAGTTGGGTAAAGCTCCCGTCGCGCACCAAATCCTGCTGGGAGCGTAAATACTTAAGACTGGAAGGCTCTTGTCTGAGCACCTACGAGCATCAGCCGAGTCCAGGAATGGCATCGATTGCCCGCTTGGATCTTATGGCAGATGATGGTTTTATCGTGAGTGAGACGATACATCAAGCTGAGGTACCTGGCACTGCCAATTCCGACATGCCCTTTATACTCAGGATAGAGTCTAAATCGCCCTCAACGTGCTGGCCGACCTCTAGGTTGGACATAATGCTACTTAGTCAGCAGGACAAGAAGAACTGGCTCAAGGCTTTAAAAACCTACTCGAGCCAATCGACAAAGACTGAAAAATTACAAACCATAATGAGATTAGAGAAGAATCAGGTAAGAGTCAGGTATTTTTAATTTTAAGAAGTAGACGAATCGCAAATGATAATTTTATAAAATTTCTTACTTTATGTCGTCGTAATTTTCTTACTTAACCCGGACGCAATAGTAACCGTATCGCCCAACCAGTGATAATATATTAAGACAAAGCCAAAGTAGATGATAAATATTACGAGTAACAATCATAATTTTGTCCGAAATAATTTCATTTGATTTATCGAGATGAATTATTGTTAGGTGAAAATTTTCCTTTAAAGAGACATCGCTTATCGTGAAATTTATATAACAAATATATATATATATATATATATATATATAATTCTAAAATAAGTTTGATTCGTTGTGCTAAATGACGGGTATGATAGATAAAGCACTTTGCATAATGTTTTAATAAATATGTAAGATCAGATGAGGTTGAGTATTAAATTTTGAATGGACCCAAAATGAGCAATCTTTACTTTCATAAAAAATATGTCGTTTCACTGGCTCAGCTGGACTTGAATACCGTGGTAGAAATGGAAGAGGACAATATTTTGTTATTCGGCGCCGAAGAGGGTCTGTTCTCCTATCGAATTGGCCAATCCCGCTGCTTGACAGCAATACGGGGCGTCAAAAAGGTTTATCAACTCACTTTGCATCCACAACTGGGCATGGCTCTTATGATAGCTGGGGAAGATCGACAACTCGTCTCCTGCGACCTACGCCAATTGAAAAGCAACGCTTTGGCCGCCGAATGCTCGAGGCCAGCAATCAATACGAAAGCTGTGCTCACGGGATCCGAGAGTTGCCATTTATATCAGATTCAAGACGAGCTCCTTTGCGCAGCCACGGCGAGCTACATAATGTAAATTTATCTCAATCTATTGATATTCGTTAACTATATATATTTTTAGATGTGTGTTTTTCGTCACTTTTATAATTGAATGGGCTGTTGTAGAATGGTGATGGAACGGAACGAGTGATTCAATTATCTCATTTAATATAACAAATTATAATACTGAAGACTTCGTTATCGAAATTAGTCTAAAATTGAAATATTGTTATTTAATGGCATTTTTGTGTGTTTATATTACAAAAGGCTATTGTAAAAATATATTTTTATATTGTATTTCATTGTATACTCTATAGATAAATGTAGAATTAATTGATCATATGATTATCAGCTCCCTTTTATTGCGCATTACAATTATTTTTATTCAATTGCAGCTTACTTAAGTGGACGTCGAAAGACGATTCTAAGGAATTCATAAGTGTTCGAGAATTTGAAACGCGAGACCCTTGCAGTTGCGCCTTATTTACCAAAAATATATTAGTCGTTGGTTGTCATAAATTCTTCCAAATTGATATTAACAACTACTTAATCGACGGTTAGTAAATATAATATCTATATAAAGTATATATTAGTTAAGAAAACACGACACTGTGCAAAACTCGTTAAAAGAATAAAATTCGTAATTAATGAAAATTAATTTATTTGGCATTGATTAGTGAAACTAATTTAATTTAGATTTCATTTTTAAAATGAATTATGAGTAACTATAATTTTATGTCTAATAATTTGTTTATATTTATCCTTTTTTTTTTTTTTATTAAACTTAAATCGCAACATATTTAAAGATGCTTAATCATCAATAAATATATAAAGTGTTTATTTATTTATTATATTAAACGACTTATAAATATTTTTTAGAAAAATCAATATAATTATAATTATGAAATCAAGACTAAATTTTAGCCAAAGTTTGCTAGTTTAGTAAAAAAAAAAAAAATACCTTAATCGATGTATTTATATCATCGGATACTTCTAAATTTCAGAAAAAATATAAAAGAAATTATTGACTATGAAAATCTACTAAAACATCAAAAATTTGTTTTTAGACTTTCCAGAAGAGGATGATAATTCAGTAAAAGCCGCTCTTAATGGTGTTGCCAAACTTGGCATTTTTCCCGTTCATATACTCGACGTTTCACAAAATTCACAAAATATCGAACTCTTACTCTGTTATAATGAATTTGGGGTTTTTGTCAATGAAAATGGCCAACGAACTCGAAACGTTGATCCATCATGGAGTCATTTACCTTTCGCCTTCGGTAATTGCTTTAAAATACTTTACACCAAACAATTTTGAAATTTTATTATCTTTATAAATATTACGTCTTAATAATCATTGTAAAATACTCAATAGCTTAATGAATATGTAATTTATCGGAGAAAAAAAAAAAAGACAATTTCATTCAATCAATGCTCTCGGTTATTTTATTTTTCTGTAAATTTTCATATTTTAATATTTCAATTATTTTTCAGCGTTCCATAAACCCTATTTATTCATTGTACATTTCTTATCTGTGGAAATTATAAAACTCGATGAAAATTCCTACAAAACGTCTTCGATACAACCCAATCGAAGTTTGCTGGATTTAAACAATCCAAGATTCTTGGGACTTTCAGGATCTCGAGGAATTTATGTGTCTACTGTAAATTCAACATTGGAAATATTGAAGATAGAGGGTGTTATAAATACAAAGAGCCGCAGTATTAGCCTAACTAGTCTTAACACATTGTAAGAATATTTACATATATCATTTAATAATTTTATTCTTTCGTTTAAACAAGTTGAAAGATTTTTGCACTCCAACGTTGTATTATTAATCGGTAATTTAAGAATTGATTAAACTTTCATTGCAGAATATGAATTATTTTCTTTTGAACGGATATTTAAGATAAAAAATGTAATTTTAAAAAGTTATGAGTATTTAAATTATAATAGTTTTTAACTGAATTGTTAAAATCAAAATTTTAAATATTCATCCTCTTGATTCACGTGGTAAGATAATTTAATTTTCTCGCAATAAACCCTTTAACATTAATAGATAATTAATACATAAATGTTTATATCACATCTTTAAATTTGTAATTATTTAAATGAAATTATTTAAATTATATAATAATATATAACTAAGGTAATAATTAATTTTAATAATTTAATAACTTAATTTTAATAATTATATATTATAAAAAATTTTTGACTATTAAATGTTAATATTTTTATTATTTATATAAGTGGCAACTAATATATTTTAATGACTATAAATTGTAAATAATACAACAAATTTTCATTCACTCTTACATTTCACTCTTATAAACATTTAATAAATTTATAATATTAATTTATCTCTAGGTCACAAAATGAGGACAGTTCATCGGAATTTAGCTTTACATCAAGTTTAATGGAAGTACTTGATGGACAAGGAAAGAAAGTACATTTTGGAAATTAATTTGGCCATTAGGTGCTGTTTAATTTAATATTTAGTGGCAAATTGCTCTTGAATTTTGTTGAAACTTTGTAATTGAGAACAAATGATAAAATAGAGTCGTATCATTTTCAGACATTGATAGTACAATATTCAACCATAACAACCATTTTTATTGATTGTATGTATTTTTTGATTATATACTTTCGATAGTGCTAAGATTTATGTTATGAGTTATAAAATTTGTAAAGTGTGATGTTTATATCCTTAATTTTAAGTAATTGAAAAAAGATATACGTGACTATTTTACTTCTCTAAGGTTTATAAAGTTTCATCAAAATAATGATCAAATTATTAACTTATTTCTTTAGAAGTGTCCGTTTTCGTGTGTGGGTATATATATATATATATATGCGAGGGTTTATGCGAGTATGTATGCATAAACCAGACTAGACCTATTCTTAAGACTATAGTTTTATAGAGTATTTAAAAATGGCACCTTCTGCGATATTTTTCTAACGGAAAAAGAAACTTTTATAGAATTGACTTTGTCATATGATTTAATTTAATGTAATGGAGAAATATAAGACATTACTAGCACACATGATTTATAATATAAGATTTTCTTAAGTAGTATTATACCAATCGCATTTGCTTGCAATTTGACATCAAGAAAATTTGCATCTTGTTATAAAGCAAAATGGTTTTAATAATATAGACAATTTAATTCTATACATACTTTATAATGATTTATTTTTTAATAAAAATTTGATAAGCAACAAATGATATTTTTAGTTTCTAAGAATAATTTTTGTTATAATAAGATGTAATTTTTTCGTGCTACACACACATATGTATATGCATATGCATATGTATATGTATAATTATTTAAAAGTAATCTTAAATGTCTAGCATAATATAATGAAATAAAGATGTATTGGTATTTTTGATAAAGTATAAGCATATTCAATGCGATATATATGTATGTATGTATGTATGTATATTAGAATTCGCTGAGTTTTAACTGCTGTTCAGTGATTTACTTAATTGAAACGATAATATATTTTTGAACTTTGTACAATAACTATAATATACTGTTATGCTATTTAAAATTAATAATAAAAGAAAAAACAAACATTACGTACACTTCATTATGGCTTATTCAATAAAGATTTCTATCATAAAATGTGTAATTTGTTTCAATAAATCCTTTTTGTAACTGCGACTAAGTAGTATAAAAATTTTCACGATATTTCATTATATAAAATTGTTTATGTGTAAAATAGCATATTGACGTCAGAGATTTTCGCTATATAATACGAAAATATTAATATTCATTGCTTATGGAGCCATTAGAATTTATTTTACCTTTAAAAAACAAAGTTTATGTTCTGCGATACTTACTGTGCAAATCTATACATATTCGAATGAGTTGAAGTCTTTTACAAGTAAAAGCAACTTCCTAATATTTTGAACTATCATGTTTTAAAAGTCGTGTCTTATCATTAATTCTGAATATAGAAATTTATTCGCATAAATTACAATTTCAATGCATTCTGTCAACAAATCTGTCAAAACATGAGCATATGTTCTTCGCATATCAAAATTTAGTTACCGAAAATTCAATATCATAAAATCATAATAAGATTAGCTTTTATTCAATTTAAAAATATGTATGATAAATATATTAATATATTTAAAATTTTATCTAAAATAATCTCACAGATATTCATGAATATTTGACAAATTTTCTATGTCATATAATTTTAATTTACATAAGTATGGATGATGTTAATATTGGATAATGGACAAGTTGAATTTATAAATTTGTATTATATACGAATATTTATCAAATTTTTTACATTAATTTTAAATTAAACTTTAAGAAATAAGAGGCAATTAAACGTTTATCAATATTATTGCTAAACGATACTATTAACATTTTGTAGAAAATAACGTTAACAAAAAAGTTTACTTACAAACCTATTAATTAGCATATTAATTAGCATAATTATTTATAATGCTAGAATAGACAATAAATTTACATAATTATTGAGGCATTTAATTATTTAACTGAGAAAATATAAGAAATATAATTTTATTATACATATGTTTAAAAATATAAATCAATGAAAATAATTTAGATTCTTTTTAAAAACGCGTCTTCTAAAGAAATTTAATTTATTACTTTAATTTTAATGCTATTAAGAACAATTACTTTGAAGGATAAATTTAGTAAAATTTCCTATTATTAATAATAATATTCATAGTTTGTAATTAGTAATAAGTGAGAAAAATATATACAATGCTTATCGGTTATCGGTATTAAAAATGTAATTTTTCCATTTATTTCATCCGTGATTATTGCATAGTACCATCTTGAATAAAACCGATTGAAAGAATAATAAATTATATTTGAAGGGTTATTTACTTTAATGAATTATTTACTTTAATGGATAAGTTATGGGCATACTTAATAAAACGAAGCAATTACATCGAAAACAATGGCGCATGTGAGAAATACATTTATACGCACAGTGGGATTTTAGAAGGAAACCAATGGTATTCTAGTTTGTATATCTCCTCGAATTCTTGAAATTTAAATACTATATGTTAATAGCGTAGCCCACACTATAATAAAAACAAAAAAAAAAAAAAAAAACAAAAAACAAAAAAAAAAATAAAAAAAAAAAATAAATAAATGATACGAGAGGAGATGTGCAGTAATCACTCGTATACGTACTACATATCATTCATTATTTGCACGTTAAAAGTTTAAAATCTTTAGTTTACCAATATTTTCGGTAAAAATTCTGAAAATTAATTCACTATTCTAAATGTGAGAATTGATTTGTGTTTGTAAATTATCAGTATGCGTATGTACACAAATTAATTTAACAATCCAGATATTTGCTTGCATTTGTACGTAATTATAAATTTGCGAATGTTACAATGTCAGCGTTTAATAATTTATTCGGTTTTTGTATTTAAATCAATAATTTAGTACAGAAAATGACGTTTAATATAATCCGACCTTTGGAATTAGTAAAAAGTATTATATTAAATAATAATAATCATGGTATGCAATGTTTCAATAATATTACTAAAATATTTATGTTGTAAGATACATAATTTTAAAGATTTGTGTTGTAATTTTCAAAATGTTAAATTTCTTGATACTTTAATTTTTTTTACTATATATATATATATATATATATATATATATATATTCAGGAAGGTATTATATAGAATAAAAAATCATTTTTATGAGTCATTACACGAAATACAATTTTGTGAATTGAAAGGGAATTTTTTTAGACTTTTTTTTCATGTATTTTTCATACTGAAATCATCACTCATATCAAAATTGATACAAATCATATAAAAAATTTCAAACAGACAAAAATATTCTATCATTATACATGTTACACATTGGGTTTGATGAATATTTTATAAAGTTAAAACATACTTAATGAAATGTACAAGTGTGACTGAATTGCTGAATTAGACCATTAACGAATGATAAAAATATGTAAATTATTTACGATTAACAACAAAGCACTTGAATAAATTGTTAAAAGTTAATTCATTAAAATGTGAAAACATGGTTGAATAAATGAAACAATTTCAAGTAAAATAACAAAACATCAAGTTCTTCAACAAATTTTCATGTCTTCAATACTCTACTATATTGTATATTTTTCATTTTAATATGTTGTGTTTTTTTGTTAGTATAAAAACAAAAAAAAAAAAAAAAAACACAATTTCCCTTACACCCTTGTCCGATAGAAAAAAATTAAGTTTTTAATTGTGATATTGTGCGCTAAGTGGCTAATACAGTGAAATTGGAGTTAATTAGAAAATAAGTACACAAGGTTTTAATTCTCATACTAAACGATTGATATTATTCATGTTGATATTGTTCTGCCATAGGGTAATGTTGATTATAAGATTATTATGTTCGAAATGAATTGAATATCATATCAGAAAAGTATTGAAGATGCAATTTAACGATAAGAAATTATTTGCATTTAAAAATTTATTTTTTAACGAGTATTTAGTAAAGATTTATGAAATTTATATCGATATTAGTTCTACGAGTCTACATTCTTATTTGTACAATAAATGCTGTTATTGAAAATTATTTTGTAATTTTACAAGAACAATTTTTACACGCAATAAGTAAATCACATTTGAAATAATACAAGTTTTTCTAATAGAAGATTTTCTCCTAAAAGAAGAAAAAAAAATATCGTTAAAAATATCATTGATTGAAGTTTTTGAAAGTAAAGTAGTTTATATTGAGTTAAATCCACGTTTAGCATATTAATTCAAGGCCAAAAATAATGTTTAAAACAACAGTATTTTTATACAAATTTATATCAGAAATAGATATGAGTTATAAAGTATATGATATATGAATTAATATATTAGAAATTAAATAGAAAATACAAAATTTGTAGGAAAAGTGTGACGTAACGTTGAAAAATAAATTGATCGATTATTATCGCGATTTATATAAATAAACTTCTTAATAACAATTGATAAATAAATAGTATCAGCTAATACATAATATAATACTTGACGTGTAATAAAGAATTAAAATTCATAATGACTATTATTTATTAAATATTTTAAAATCTTCATATTTATTAATAATAATTTACACTTTCAATTATTGATATTCATAATAAATTTTTTTTAAAAAAAAAATGTATTTTAAATAAGCGCGTTAGAAGCTTTTAAAATGTTGTTACTGTTCTATCTTACTTTCTCCAATGATGCGCGCTCGACTTTTCAGTTATGAAACTAGCGGCAATTCCATTCGCCAAATCGGCGAAATAACTTTGTTTAAATAATGTGAGCTTTCAATCGGTGTACGAGCTGCTTGGTCAATATTCATGGCCAATAACAAAAATTTGTGATAATCCTCATCAGTGATACAGACACAAACGTGTCTATGACTCGTCTAAGACTTGGCCAAACGAATAAGTAATTCCAGCTTTTTTAGTATTTATTTTTAAGGGAGATGACAAGCGGAGTTTGGACTTGAAAATTATTTTCTTGTTAGTTTGCTTCCATTATATTCTACATTCTCTATAGGCCGCATAAAAAATATCAAAGATCTTTCTATTTCAATGAATGTATAAATGGATTCACATTATAGTCGTTAAATCATTGTTATATACCATTTCCATACTTTTAAGTAAAAAATTTCAAGTCAAATTTATTCGTCCATTTTTCTTCGTATCTTAAAATTACTTTTATTTTTTGTTTTTTTTTTTTTTTTTGTTTCTTTTTGTTTTTTTTTTGTTTTTGTTTTTAATTAGCTCAAGAAAATTTAATATACCAATAAGTCAAAGTTTTAAAATTTAATGTATCCTTATCGAATACAGAATTGTAATATTATTCGAGTATTAATTCTTGGATTTTCAAGTAAAAATTAATAATATAGTGCAATTTTTTTTTTTTTTTTTTTTTTTTTTTTTTTTTATAAAATATATTTGAATTTATTTGTAAATATATATGAAAATAATATAATATAATAATTTCAAGTTATTTCTAGAGAAATAATTCAAAATATTACATTGTAATACAAGAGACAGATTGTCAAATGTAAATGTTAAACAATCATTAATATTTTAAGAATTGTATACGAGAGTGTCGATATAAAAAGAACTTATTGAAGAATTCACACGTAATTAAAATCCTCGCATTTTTACCAAATATTTAATGAATGCATTTTTATTAACTACTAATGGATCTCGTGTTTTTAAATATAATCAACGTGTGCATTGCATTTTAGAAAATTTGAAAGAAAAAAAAAGGCTTTAGATAATGTGCATGTCATATTGTAACCTGAAAAACTCGTATTCTGATAGTGATAAATAATAATAATTTCATATATTACTTTAATACGAATAATTAATTAATAAATTGTCATTAGGAGAATAATTAACGGCTATTTATGAAATAATTTCAGAGCATTTTCTTGCAATGTAATTCATCAATTGGATGAGATAACTGTGATAATTTCACCTAACTAACTACTGTTATATTCTCATTTACCCTGATTGAATAGAAATTCTGTTAATAAACAGTTGTTTGTTTAATGATATTGCATATTAATAGAGTATCGATAGTTAAACGACTTAGTGTTTGATAAAACGTTCGGTTGTACTTTCTCCCGATGATACACTTATTTGGAAATAATATCTAAGAAATTTATTGTCATGAATTTACTTTGTTTACTGCAATTCAATTCCTTATAATCATTCGATAAGGATTATTTAAACACACATGGATAATGCGATCATCGTTGAAAAAATAATATTAGGGCTTATTATATTGAATAATGTTTGTGCTGTAACCAAATGAATTCAAAGAGTCATTTAACAGAATTGGAATTCATTACAGGACGCTAATTTTCTTAATTAAATAACAAAGAGTACGAGTAAGTAAGTGAGATGGATCGTAAGGCGTTGGACTTGACACTGGCTCGATCAATATCCATTATATCCTCGAAGATTATAACCGTAGACTCGGAGATTCATAATATCTTCTATAATATAACAAAAACTTGGTTGTTTCTTAACAGCGAGACTAAATATGAAAAATTCAATAATAAAAAAAGCAAAAGAAAAATGATATATTGATAAGAATATTGCTAAAGTTTCTATTGTTGCTCAAAGGAGAAAACAATAATATCATAATGACACGATTTCTCGATAAATTTGCGTTAATAAATAAAGGATATTAATTATAATAAATGACGACGGTCCACCTTCTCCCGTTTATCAGCTGCTTTATTATTTTAAATTAAAACCCTCAGAAAGTATAGAATTTAAATAGATTTGAAAAACTAAATCCACTTATGTAATTAGCATGTATAATTATTCGTAATGATTTAAATTCTATAAATTAAAATTGAAATCGGCGAGTGCATTATTCGCAAAATTGTAGTAAATTTAAAATTTAATTCTCGCAAGCAATGACCAAAGTGGCGGTAACACTCACAGTTATAAAAAGCCCCTCGTTTATGCTCCTCGTTCGATTTTTTCGTTGTCAACTGTCCGCGAAGTTGTGTTTAATTTCGATTTGCCAACTCTCTCACACAGACATTTCAATAAAATTCTCCGAGCCAGCTTAATAATTCGCCCAATAATATAAAAGCACTGAAATTTTTCTTTGCGGCCAAAGCCCAGTCGACGGTCATTGCGCCGTTTAGTCATTGTCATTTTGGGAAACGTTTTGGATGTGCCCTCGATAAAATTGTTTTTCACGCTTACATACCAGGGACATGTTTCCCGGCGAGATGATTCACGAGGAAATACGACCTCGGAAGCTGCCGGAAGTTCGGCCTGGCGACGAAGTGGTTATCAGTGGCGTGGCAGGAAGATTTCCCTCGTCGGACAATATGGATGAGCTGAGGGAGAACCTCATGAGTAAAGTTGACCTTATTGCACCAAATGGCCGATGGAAATTGGGTGAATATTATTGCATAGTTGAGCGTAGAGAGACAAGAGACTCATAAACTATAATCATCCATCACATCTACAACGTGTTAATAATCTTAAAACGTTTGAAACAATAATAGAATAATGAAAAGATTAAGGGAACAAAAAGGGGGGGGAAAAAAAAAAAAAAAAAAAAAAAAACAAGTATACTCTAAAATTGATATTTTAGAGCTCGGAAATATTCGTTATTTGAATTTACAATATTTGTTTAGAATAATTATTTACCTACGTGTCTATTTTACAGAATACACCCCTATTTTCAAGGCCAATTTCACATGGCAAGTGTCCTGCGAATCGAATATTGCCATTAAATTTCCGAGATTTTTGCACTAAAATTTCTCTTAATCTCTTTGCGCTTACAATAATACATTACCCCGACAACCATACAAATATTTTCCTGCTGCTAATACTAGAATTTACAACTCATTGAGAATATCTTAATCGCACGAGGATAAAAATGAATTTACCTATTTATTATTATTATTATTATTATTATTATTATTATTATTATTATTATTATTATTATTTTCATTCTGTAAATTGACATTGTTTAAGCTAGTGCTCCATTTAAATAACGCGTTCACTCTCGTCATCACCACCGTTGCCGTAATTATCGTTGCATTTAAAAAAAATGCCTACGTCTGCCTCTTATTATTTTGCACGCAAATTACAGAAAATCCGGATATTCCGTTACGCGTGGGCCAATTGAGCAGCATTGAAAAGTTCGACGCACTCTTTTTCGGTGTCCACTTCAAGCAGGCGCACACGATGGATCCGCAGTGTCGGATGCTGCTCGAGCACACCTACGAGGCCATTATCGACGCTGGGATAAATCCGCGACAGCTTCGCGGCAGCAGGACTGGAGTATTCATAGGCGCCTCGTTCTCCGAGTCGGAGAAGACTTGGTTTTACGACAAAATTAATGTATTATTACGCACTCGTACAAGTACTCTCAAGTACTTGTACATACGCTCGCCCATCACATCAAATCCTTTAAAGTGACCTCCGTCATTTATCTGACAAGTTGAATTATCTTCGGAGCTAAGTCGGAGCTCTTTAGAGATGTTATAATTACGGTTACTCATATTACTCATTTCAAGCTCTAACACTAATAGCAAAATATATCTTAAAATGCATTTGGACGAGACGCGTATGAGATGATATTTGATATCGATCGATAACTCTCGGACTCCGAGGACAATTCACATCACTTGGCTCTGACTAAACAATTTTTTATCTAATTATGAATATTTAACGATGCGTGAGACTCGCTGGCCGATTATTTATCCATTCAAATTTCATTCAAAGTTAAAATAGCTATCATTAAACATATAATTGGATAAACATAGTAATTGCATGTCTTGTTCGTGCTGTTTTTAACGAATTTGTCCTTACAATCACTCGACGACAATAGTGAATCCAGCAGCAAATAGGCCGTTATCGATTAAAAAAAAAAAAAAAAAAAAAAAAAAAAAAAAAAAAAATAACTCTCTCGAAACCTGTTAATAGCCCAAATTATCATAGAGATAATCTATACAGATAATCGTCCGGCGCTTACCAACATCGCAGCACGTAATTCAAATTTCTATTTAGAATAATGGCTTTGGCATCACCGGCTGTGCCCGCGCCATGTTCTCCAATCGTATTTCCTACTGGCTGGGAGTAACCGGGCCCAGCTACACCGTCGACACCGCCTGCAGCTCGAGCCTCTATGCTTTGGAACACGCTTACAGGGCGATAAGGGAAGGTCTTTGCGACTCGGCTATCGTCGGCGGATCGAACATTTGCCTCCATCCCTTCGTCGCCATGCAGTTTTACAATTTGGGTAGGATACGTTCGGCATTGACGCTCGTCCAGTCCGGCAATCTTGTTACTATTAACGTAAATAAATATAGCCCGTCGATTTGAACGAACGACTTGGCCGGTTCTCGAATTCACCGAAATAATTCTCGTACTTCGAATCTTCTCGAACACTTGGACGAATGCGAGTCATACAGTGTTTGTTCATCGTATCGGCAGGTGTAACGTCATTGGACGGGCGGTGCAAGTCCTTCGACGATGCGGCCGACGGCTACGCGAGGAGCGAGGCCATCTGCGTGGTCTTCCTGCAGAAGGCCAAGGAGGCGAAGCGCATCTACGCGACCCTTGTCCACGGCAAGCTAAATTGCGACGGCTTTAAGGAGCAGGGAATCACCTTCCCCTCGACTCGCATGCAAAGCCTCTTGTTCAAGGAATGCTACATGGAGTGCGGGATACCGCCGACGATGATAAACTACATCGAGGCCCACGGGACTGGGACGAGAGTCGGTGACGCCGAAGAGGTTAACGCGATCGACAATGTCTTTACGCCTGGACGCAAGACTCCATTGCTCATCGGTTCGGGCAAGTCGAACTTTGGCCACACCGAGTCTGCCAGTGGAGTCTGTTCCGTCGCCAAAGTGAGTTCTATTTACGCGCGATTGCTGCACGATTTTTCTAAACATGATTTATTACCTGTGCTTTGTTACCTCATCGTCAAATGTTTACGCCTGTCTCTGAGAGGATTAGAGCGATAGCGAATTACTAGTCCCGTTTTTACGTCTCGCCCGCTTGTCCTCGCATTCGAACATTCAATTCCGGAATTCGTTATAATGCCAACAAAAAAAAAAAAACAAAAAACAAAAAAAAAACAAAAAACAAAAAAAGAAAACAAGAAAAGAACAAAAAGTAAACACAAACTTACTCCTCTTTTTAAGAGCGCAAATTGCTTTCAAGGTCATAATAGCCATGGAAACGGGAACGATACCGCCGAATTTGCACTACAACGTACCGAAACAGGGCATCCCGGCCTTGAAAGATGGCAGAATGAAGGTCGTGACGGAAGCAACTACCTTGGAAGGCGAATATATTGGCGTTAATTCGTTTGGATTCGGAGGTGCCAACGTCCACATGATTCTCAAATCCAATCCTAAGGTAAAAGTCAATAATGGCGCACCAATGGACAATTTACCAAGACTGGTGGCCATATCCGGCCGAACGGAGGAAGCTGTATCGACCATAATAAACAAGGTGAGTCTATCGATGACGCTTTTTACGCCTTTTTTACGCCTTTTTTACGACAATTTTTTACGACGATTCAACATTGTAAAAGGACATTGATTTAGGATTGATTCGGGACGCGATTAATATTCAAACTCTTAATCATTAACCCCTCTATTTCTTTATATTTCTCTTCTCATTTCCCTAGAGAATTCAAGAATGCTACAATCGCCGGCACACAATAGTCTTGAGAACGTCAATTATTTCAATAATTATTCTACTGATTCATTCGGATGGAAATGAACAGCCGTGCCTTTCACTATTCAATATTCAATTCAATTTTCGTGCATTAAATAAATCTATTAATTTTTGCATTGAAAATTTGACCTTGACATGGATATTACAAAATTGGAATTTTTGATTGAATTAAATAAAAACAAAAACAAACAAAAACAAAAACAAAAAAAAAAAAACAAAAAAAAAACAAAAAAAAACAAAAAAATAAAACATCATTACTTTTAAATATCAATATTGTAATTGCTCATGGTTATCGAGCGACGATTATTTTATACAAATTCACGTTGCGTTAATAGAGATGATTAGAAAAAAAAATTTGCTAAATTATTAAAACGAAATCATTTGCACGTGTTTTTGAATTACATTCGCATTCCCATACGTTGGCTCCTGTCAAGTACATCAACTGTACGCATTAAATATATGATTACCAGTCAGCTCGACATCGATTGATTTACGCAGCAATTATTTATAAGTTTGACTATCCTCCTCCATCGCCTTCCCACCCTCCCTCCCTCCTCTCGTCAAGTTAAAATTACAATGGTTAAAGTGTACGTAAATATTAAAATACTTTAATGTGCCTTTGGGCAGTTCAATAGCAGGCCCATAGATGTCGAATACATAAGACTTTTTCACGACATTCATGCGGAAAATATAAAGGGCAACTTGTATCGAGGATACACGATTCTACCATCCCACGGCGTCGCTAAGCACCCGATAAAGGACATTCAATTTTATCCCGAAACGAAAAGACCCGTCTGGTTCATATTTGCTGGAATGGGTTCGCAGTGGCCTGGAATGGGTAAGAGTTTTAATTTATTCAATCCCGATAATCGCTGTAATTTTAAAAGTAACGCCTTTTTTACATTAAAAACAAAAAAAAAAAAAACAAAAAAAAAAAAACAAAAAAAAACAAAAAAAAAACAAAAACAAAAC